TTAATAGTCCATTTTTTCTCTAAACTAATTAGTTTTATTAAATGTTGACGTAGTTATATTCTTAATGTGCTCCAATTAAATTTTACTTTTTAATTAATATTATTGTCTTTTTAATGAAATGAAAATTTTAAATCGATCTAAAGAAAATTTATGTAGGTCGTTCTTACTTACTTACTGAGATAAAATAATTCGTTAAGTATTTAATTTAATGATCTGTAAAGGATTAAAGTTTTTATTTTAGCAGATGTTACTTGAAATGGAAAAATTGAAAACGTTGAATAGATAAAGTAGAATTATTAAAAAATAGACCATATACCGGGTTCTTCTATATGTGTATACAAATGGGTATTTTTTATTTGAGGTCGTTTGAGGACGATTCTCAAAATATTAAAAAAATTAAAACCTGTTTATTATTCCTTGGAATTTTAAGAAAGTATGTTTTATTTGTAAACACATTTATATACATTTTTATTCAATTTCTTTACCACTATATTTGGAGTTACCAGTTTACCATTTGAGTTATCATCATCATCATTATTGATTAATACAGTTCCTGACACAAAAATAACTATTGTTTTTCAAGGTTTTTATTAGAAATTGTATAATTTCAAATAGTATATTGACAATGACATTAACTTTAACATTGTATATTGAGTGAATTAGTGTTCTGCGCATCAATGCTTTTGAGTTTTCACATTTTTTAAATTATTTGGAACTAATAGACTTGTGATTTAACAGACCTTGTATCTTTTGATATAAAAACTTCATAGCAAAAATAGCACTTTTCTAATAATGTATTTATTTTCCAAATTAAATATTAATTAATAACCCATTAAACTTAATTGAACTAAAATTTATGCCGTGAGAAAAATTTGGATTAAAAGTGTATCATAAAATTATAATTTCACACATTGTAGACAAATAGATAAGTATTACAAAAAATTTTATGAAACTGACATCACTGCTATTTTTGGTAAATCTTACCTGTTAGAAAGTATTAAATTGTTCAAAGTACCTAAATTTTTTTAACCATTCATCCATTTTATAGACTAACAAATGATTTATGTTAATTATTGGCACATGTGATAGATTACACTTTCCAAACTCATAACTCATTTTAATGTGAGGTGCACCTCACATTAAAATGAATTATGAGTTTGGAAAGTGGAAACGATCTGAATTGCTGAATGGAAAACCATTTTATTGTAAAAAAAAAAAATTGGGATTTTAAAAAATTTTATCGCAACATTTTTTACAGAATTGTTTCAATAAGATTTACTATTTCGTTCAATGGCCTAAAAAAGAAACACAAAAAAATTTGGACTTAAATCATAATATCAGTATCACATTTAGTAAAAAATTACTCAGCCAGTCCTTTTTTGAAATTGTTTGGTGTCGTGGTGAAACAGGATTTTTCTCTTTGCTAAATGGAGACGTTTTACATATGAAAATATTCTTAAAAAATTGTTACAGTCTACGATCAATCTCTTCTTCTTCTGTTTCCTCTTCCTCTTTTTCTTCTTCTTGGTATTTTTATTTACTTTATCTATTTTGCGTTCATAATGAATTCATTAAAACACCGCTTTCAGTGCTGTAATGAGATACTTTATCCCACCCAAAATTTTGATTTTATAGGTTGGCCATACTTAATTTAAATTATATTCGTGTATAAAATGGCGTTTATCAAACTTGATACATAATGTACTATAATGGTTTGTCCAAACGTCATTCTAATTTTAATACGACGGATGTAACCAACAAACTATGAATTACATTATTTTTTACCTTTAATTGTACCATTTTGGCACATATATATATATATATATATATATATATATATATATATATATATATAATATAATATTTTCGTATTATTCATATAACCTTCAGGATAAACAGGATTTTATAAATAATATACTATTAAATAAAGTTATAATGACTGCAATTGTATAAAAAATTATTTATATCTCTTATAAAGGTAAGTTTAGCGAAGTCGTGAGAAGATTTGCACTCACTTCTAAATTTTCAATTTAATTGATCATTAAAACTCAAGTCAAGATTGTTTGTAATCTAAGTAAAAGTTTTATTTCTATCAAACATATGTTGGCACAAATTGTTACCAGAATGTGTAATGTTTTTAGTGACATACATACCTGCAGAATAATAATAATCGACAGATTAATTGTCTCTATATAAAAAAAGTAAAACATTACTAGGAGAATGACGGTGATAAAAATATGCTTTTTATTTTATTATAATTATAATTCCAGTGGATATTGTTGGGCTTGCAATATGGTCAAAATTTCTCCAGAATGAAAATGAGTTTAATTTTGTTTGTTGAATTCTTGAAAGGTTTTATTCGAAAGTCGGTTTGGGTGTGAGTATTTGCAAACAATAATTTTTGTAAGTGGATTCTTTAATTTTGTATCTATACAATAAATGAAAGTTAGTCTTTAGTATTTCCTATAGAGTATAATAAAGTTATTATCATAACACTGCTCGACATCAATTTTGTAACATGGTCCACAACCACATTTCTGGGGTAATTGATTTTATTTTGCCAATTTGCTCTTGCTCTCATTTTAAGATATTGCGAAAAAATACTTTAATGCCATCTGGTGGCGCTCGATAGCATTATTGAACTACAAGGTTTTTCATCATTAAATTTAAAGCATACGAACTGCACATCATTTTTAAGTAAATAAATTGTTTTTTTCACAAAAGAAAGTAATCAATGATAAAAAATTGAAAAATAATAAGCTTGACAAGCCATGGCCTTATAGCGTTTTATTAACGGGCTAAAGTATCTTAAAGTTAGATGACAACTGTCAACTTGACAGTTATACAATCGTGAAAATAAAGTGTCTTTCCCAAAAAATAATAAATGTAAAATTTATTGAATTACCTTAATAAAAAAAATCAAAGTATTAATGAGTTTCAATAATTAAAAAGTTTGTACTGACCTTTTTATTTCTCCAGCAGCACGGTCCTATACACGGTGGTCAAAACTTAAGTATAGGACGAACAAAATGTCAACCAAAATTGATATCATATTTTGATTATAGACCCTTTTGGTAACACTAACATGTATTTATCACAATCCCAGCTGATATTATTTTAAAGTTTTGCAAAATTTTTGTTTTTCTATTTCTATATATTATTTTGCAATTATTGTACTAAAACTACCTGTACAATTTTAATAAAATTAAGCAAAATAATAAACTTTGTATCATTTAAATTACTTTACTCCCCAGTATTAATTTATTGAGTCACCTATTATTTTTTACCACTCAAAACAAAACATAACAAAAAAAACGAAGATTTATATCTTAAATATTTTTTATAACAAAAAATACTGGAAGTTTGTCTATGAAATAATTGCAACTTGCAAATTTTGTAAAACAATAATTAAGGTGGTTATGAAAAAACTTGCTATACGTTGTAAGGCAAGTGACATTTTGCTTTAGTTGTTTATTTAATGTATACTTTATAAAGTTAAAAATAGTATTTTAAAATGAAAATTAAACCGAAATTCAAGTTAAGCCATGAAGAAAATCGAAAGAAGATATGTGCTGGCTGTGGAGACAAAATTGTTTTTGGTATTCGAAAAATTCAGAGTTTAGGGTTTCTGAGAAAATATAAAAATTACTGCAGACTTTTTCAAACGAACACCTTAACTTAAGTGATTCAAAATTAACTACTTCAATATAGTAAAAACGGTATTTTTGCATAGTCACAATTGCCAAATTTAGAGAATTTCGCGGCAGCCAAGAATGTATGTGCTTTATCTGCAAAATGGCAAGATATAAAGGGCATAAAAAATTATCAAGGGAAGAGGACGGACGAACGAACTAAAGTTTTGATATGCTCTTCCTTTCTAGGGAATATCGCTAGATGTAAAAAGCATGTTTGTAAAGAGACTGAAGAATTCAAAAATACTGTTTTCATGTTAAAAACAATTCCATGTAAAACCCAAGAAAAAGTTTTACTGAAAATTTAAGGCAAGCAGTAATCGATTTTGCTTCAAAGAATCTTTAGTTATTTATTAGCTTTGTATTAGGTACCTTAAAACAATAATGTATCTGCCATTTGATAATGGTACTAGAGTATTTTATCGAAATGGCATAAACAATTTTAAAATACTAAGAAATATGCAAAACTTTAATAAAGGATCAGCTGGGATTTTGATAAATACATTTTTGTGTTACCAAAAGAGTCTATAATCAGATTATGCTATCAGTTTTGGTTGGCATTTTTGTTCGTCCTATACTTTAGTTTTGACCACAATGTATATAAGAGTGTGGCCGGCAGTAAACTAGATTTAACGGATGAAGCAATAAAAATTTCGGGTGGAGAAAAAGTATAGCAATTCCTGACTAAAATGGCGTTTTTCAAACTTAATACCATAATACGTACTATTATGTTGTATTTTGCGTTTGATAAAATTGATTTATATTTCAATGGTACTTTTTTGTTTTTATATCAAACTCTTCTATGCTTTCCAAACTCTATATTTAACTTATTTGGCTTTAGCTACAACTTAATAGGATAACAAAACATTAATGTTGTATAGAAATTAAGTTAATTCAAAACAACTAACTACCAGTCTTTCAAGAAAAACTACAATTGCCCTCAAACTTTTCCTGAACCGCCAAAACAATGTTACCTTATCGCGAAACACCGTGTGAGTGTGCAAAATACAGATTTAGCGAAAGCATTCTAGCCTAAATACACACCGATAATTTTCATAGCTGACACGGCAGCGCGCGGGGCACCACAACAGGTGTACCATACACACAGTATGCATGGTACCCCTCCCGGTGCACCGAGTTATAGGAGACCGCTACACTGTCCCAGTGACCTACTTGGGATGTTCTGGTGGCCGACACAGGTCTGCCCGAGTCGGACAACTCTTCAGTACGCAGCCAAGAGCCGGCACGACCAACCGACTCGGTACCATTGGAGTTCGGCGCACCACGCGAAGTACCCGGCACCCGAAATCCATATCGTTAATTGCATTCCTTAGAACAGTGCTTTGACTTGCCAGGAATTTTTTCTCCAGACGAAATGGTGGTCAGTTTGTGAGGTTGTTACCTTTCTGTGGATATTTTTATTGTTGTTGAAGTTTTTTGTTACTCTATTTAATATGAAGTTTGAAGTCGTTGTGTGTTTGTGCCTTTTAAGCTTTGCTTTAGCAATGGACATTAAGAATGCCGCTGATAATAATAGAGGTGAGTTTGCTTACCTGAAGGGTATTATTATGAGAGTAGGAAGTAAGAACGAGTTCAAATTGGTCTTCAAAAATCATGATTTTAAAAGAAATTGTTGATAAATATACACATTCTTTCGAAAAAATTAAGCAGGAGAAAAACTCTAATTTGAAGATAAAAAGGTAGTGTAAAAATTTTGTAGAAAGATTTTAATATTTTTGAGTATTACGCTTTTTAAGATTCCAGAAAAGCCAAAAAAAAGTTTTTAAACATTTTTACTCAAATACTAGTTTACTGCCAGCGAAATAAAAAGGTCATTAAAAACGTACGAGGTGTATTCAGAAAATAACGGGAATTGTTAAATTTCGCGGGTTCGGAGGGTCCGGTTGTCATAAAATTTTCTTTATTATGTTGGTATATATGCCCCCGAAGTATGATAAAAACTTTAGCTGTTTTCATTTACTTTGTCTGTGGCAGCCGCTAAGGTTAGACGTGTTTTATGAGCTCGGCGATTTTTCGTTCGTTAAAGGAAATGGATCAAAGAATTTGTATCCAATTTTGCTTAAAAAATTAAATAAATTCTGTGAAATGTTAACAAAGGCCTATAAGTAAAACAAGAGTTTACAAGTGGTATAAGAGTTTCCAAGATGTCCGTGAAGACGTTGAAGATGACGAACGCCCCGAACGCACAAGCGCATTAACAACCGATAAAACATGTAAAAAGTGGAAGAAATGGTTATAAACCATCAGAGAAGTCGCTGATGATGTTGGTATATCGATTGGCTCATCCAATGAAATTTTTTCGAAAGTTTTGGGTATGAAACGCGTGGCAGCAAAACTTGTTCTAAAATTGTTAAATTTTGAACAAAATTTTTGGCCAAAATCAATACTGTAATGATGCCCCAGCCTCCATATTCGCCAGACATGCCTCTGTCTGACTTTTTGCTATTCCCAAAAATAAAGAGAACCTTAAAGGGCCGTCGTTTTGCAAACATAGATAACATTAAAAGCGCATCGCTGAAAGAACTAAAGGCTATCCCAAAGATCGAGTTTTAGAAGTGTTTCGAGTATTGGAAGAAGAGCTGGCACATGTGCATAATATCCGTTGGGGACTATTTTGAAGATGACAACATTAATGTAGACGAATAAATAAATATTTGTTTAAAAAAAAACGAAAATTCCCGATACTTTCTGAACACACCTCGTACATACAACTTTTCAAATATTGGCGTCAAGAAACTTTTTAATATTTGTGAATTTTAATATTTATTTTGACAAATTTATGATATTTGACAACGGTTAAATAACTTAAAGCTTGTGACGCCATAAATTCGCAGCTTGTCAAGGTGTATTTAAAAGATCACTTAGTCCTGGAAACATGTACGATAATGGCCTTTTTTAATGTGTAGAAAAATAATATATCAAGTTTTATAAACGCCATTTTGGTTACGAGTTTTAATTAGTAAATTTTAATTGTTAAATATTTGACATCTGAAAAACTTAACCTCACTTTTTCCCAATTCATAATGGACCTAACTAACTTCATCCCGTGACTAAAACGTCCTAGTGGGAGTTGATAGAGAGAGTAGATAATGTTATATTATGTATTAAGTTTCATAAATGCCATTTTAGACACGAATTTAATTTAGGCACGAGCGAGCTTGCAAGCTAGTGCTTAACTAAATGAGTGTCTAGAAAGTTGCATACTATACTTTTTCTAAGACAAATACTTATTATTATCTAAAAATGATTCAATTTAAATATTTGTATAGAGCGACATCTATAAAACAACAGAGTAACCAACTTGGGAATCTGAAAATGTCAAATTTTAATGTGTAAATAGAAATTTATCCCTTGAAAATGGACCGTTTAATCCGATACAGAAGCAGTTTTTCACAGTGAAAGTAAAGAAAATGTTTTATTGGCACTCCACGGTAGGGCCTCTACCCGAAATTAAGTTAAATATAGTTTACGGTCAAATTAAAACGTCAGTACAATTTATATATAAACTTTTCAAATATTAGCATTGAAAAACTATTAAATACTTTTTTATTTTGGTATTGAAATAATAAAATAATTTTTACATTTCATTTTAACGATTAAATGACATTTGACAACTGTCAACTAACTTAAAACTAACTTCAGAGTCTGAAGTTCAGACCGTTACTAAAAACCTGTTGCTAACTTCAGCCCGTGACTAAAAAGTAGTAAAGCCACAACTTGTCAATGTGTATTTAAAAGGTCACTTAGTGTCATGGAAACATGTACGATAATGAGTGTTTAGAAAAATATATTTTAAATATTTAATTTTTTAAAAATATTTAATTAAGCATGCAGATATGTTATATTTAAATTTTATTACTCTTACACTTTTTGTACTGAAATTAAATTGAAAATGCGCAAGGCCAATCTACATATTTCAGGTTTATGTGTAGTTTTTATTTTATTTTACAAAGGTTTGTGATACTGACACAATTATTACGTCATGACTCATGACCAACTTTTACTTCTTTTTGTCAAATTTTATTTGTGTTAAATATTCAAAATGGTCCCAATTATTTTTAATATTCGTTATTTTTACTGTCTAATTTGCTTACTTTACAAATATGTTTATAATTTTTACATTTTCTTGTACAATTATGTTTTATAAGTTTTTTTTGATTCTTCAAATTTCATGTTAAATTAACCAAGTATTTTTATCGTTGCGGTACTTAATCAACACAACTAATAGTAAAACAGTAAAAACCGAATAATCCTCTCAAAATACCAAACCTAAAAAGCGTAGAAATTGCTCAAAACATCTTATTTTCTTGATTTATTAATACAATTGTATCTCGGGTTTAAAGTAGGTAGGTACCTGGGTAGCAAGCAATGGCAATAAATTATTTTGCTCATTGTATTCAGACGTCTTGCGGATAAGAAGTCAATAATCAATTTCTTTATTGATCATTCAACGAACGGGAAGTGTTTAATGTGATCAATAGGATTAAGTATTACAAACAAGCATTAAAGAGGATGAACCCAATTTTATTTTTTGATAATGTGTATTTTTTTAAACACAAAGAACATATTAAAATTTTAAAAATAATTTAGTTAAACTTTTATATTGTATTGATATATTACAAAATTAATTTAAAACTCTTAAACTCCTGGGAAATATTAAATTCTGTTATATTAAACAAGTTTATGACTTTAAGTTTATGCAAAAGGGGTCTGTAATTAAATTTAAAAATAACGTTAATTCATTTCGGGAGGTTTTATTAATTATTTCAAAAACGGTTAGCGTGAAATAGCGCAAAATAAATAAAAGATATTTCCATTCTTAGCATGTACGAGGTGTGTTCAGAAAATAACGGGAATGGGGTAGTTAAATTTTTTCTGACCTATACTTTTTATGGTTTTATTCAAGGCGTTTTGTAATATTAAACATTTCTGTGAAATCAGAATTTCAATTGAGTTTACCGTTTTCGAGATATTTACAAAAAATATAAATTTTTATGACGTCACAAACCCCGCCATGTGACCAACATTCTAAGATTTCTATTGGTTGAAAATTACCCTGTTGTCAAGTTGTCTTGTTAATGATTTCATTCGGTTATGTCAGAAAATACCCGAAGAGGTTATGTACAAATACTGTCACTGTCAGTTGAGTGAAAGAAGAAGAGGAGGTTAAAGAAAATTCTGAAATTAAAAGTTTTATTGATAGGTTTACACATTGAAACACCGTGTGAAACATAATAAAATGTAATAAATAGGTACCTAATAACTGTCTAAAGCAGAGTTTAATATATTTCATAGAAAAGTGGCAAAATAAAGCTGAAAATGAATGAAATAAATTTACAAAAAATAACAGTAAATGTAAGTTAACAATGGTATTTATGATATTTGTGTATAGTTTTTATAAAACTTGCATCCCTGATGATGAGCATCAAAACCTTTTGTAAGATTTAAAAAATGTATGACAAACTTTTGGACTGTTCGAAGATACTATGCTCTAGAGTACATTTTTGTACTTTTCAAAAATTCTGGTTTAAATATTGCTGCAATAACGTACATAGTAGGTAAAGATAGTGCAGGGTCTACAAATAGACATTTTGATTAAAATATTCAAACAGATGGTCACCAAATTCATTAAGTACCTATCTTCCTTATTACGAGGTATCATATTACTGTTTGATATTTTAGAGTCCAAGATATATCTAAAAGAATATAAAGAACTAGGCATTATACTAATGAAATGCATTTACGACAAAATATGATTATAATTATAGGTACTTACTTTATTTGTTTAAAAGCTCCAATGTTCAATGTAACCAACCATTCCACAAGATTCCTCTGCTTTGGAGTCAGTTATTAATAAATCACTTATCTAATATCAATTACAAATAACATAACAATAACATTGATTTTCAATAATCTAAATTTAAAAAAAAACAACCCGAAAAAAAGAAACGTCAAAAAATCAATTCTTCTTCTTCTCCTCAACTAAAATTTTAGATCAAGTAGTTTTAAAACTAAAATATTATAACGTGGCGCCATCTATCGTAAGAATCTTAAACTAAACACCATAGAAAAAGCTGGCAACGTTGTCAATAGCCTAGTGACGTAATTAGGAGACTTTTTTTTGTAAATATCTCGAAAACGGTAAACTCAATTGAAATTCCGATTTCACAAAGATGTTTAAAATTAAAAAACGCCTTGAATAAAACCATAAAAAGTATAGGTCAGAAAAAATTTAACTACCCCATTGTTAAATTTCGCGGATTCGGAGGGTCCGGTTGTCATAAAATTTTCTTTATTATGTTGGTATACATGCCCCCGAAGTATGATAAAAACTTTAGCTGTTTTTATTGTTTACTTTGTCTGTGGCAGCCGCTAAGGTTAGACGTGTTTTATGAGCTCGGCGATTTTTCATTCGTTAAAAGAAATGGATCAAAGAATTTATATCCAATTTTACTTAAAAAATTAAATAAATTCTGTAAGATGTTAACAAAGGCCTATAGTGAGTCTGCTATAAGTAA